AAATCGCGTTGAGATTATTAAAACAGTCACTTTAATGAGAATTGTGAAGCGTCGCTGTTTATGACAAAGTTGGTAAGGGCGGGTACGCATTGTAGCACAATAGGTATATGACTATTAATTGATTATTTTGATATTTTTCTTTCCCTTATTTGGCCCGTAGAATTAGTACATTTGCCAGTGTCAAATATATAAAATATCAGAAAATAACTGCAGTAAAACCATTTTAAAGGAATGTCCAGATTTTAATTTATTAATTTCTTTCTTATAACTTTACTTAAATTCTTGTTTTCAATAAACTTGTGAATTTTTTTATCTACTTTTGCTATTCTGTTATATTATTACGTAATTCTGTTTTATATCATATTTGCGTTCCGCCCTGGCTTCGCACGGATGATTTTTGGATCTCGACAACTTATGCATGTATTTACATATAAAGCTTCCTCTTGAATCATTCTGTCTATTGATGAAAATAAAAACCGAATCAAAATCCGTTGCGTATTTTGGAAGATCTAAACGTACAGACGGCGGAAAGCGACTTTGTTTTATACTATGTAGAGACATAAAGGCCATCACTTTTTGACACTATTACATTAATTTTGTAAATTAGCTATTAGTTTTTCAAGTAAATAAAAATTAATACAAATAATTTACGTTATTAAAGAGTAATAGTACCGACTAACTTAGGTTCGAACCCAACTGGCACCAATGTAGTTGTCAAGCAGTGCTGAATTGTAGGTACTCTGTGGTCTGTCTTGTTTTGATAGTTACTCAATTGGACAAAAAATATTTTTATCATTAATCAAATAACCTTGCCATCTAATATCTCACAGCATTTAATACCACAAAAGCTCATTTCAAAATGGTAGATCAAAATTACCTGTAGCGATGTATGAGGGTTGCATAAAGCGCAAATATCTACAAGTCGTATCATCGACATCAGAAGATTATGTTAAACAGTCTGAACTTGATGTCATTATTAAATTATGTCAATGATGAACTGTGCTCAGTGATGAACTAATGCGTCAAGATATGGAAGAAATATGTCCTACATTAACCGCGCGGTGTGGTGGTTGTGCTACAAACATAAGATAGCTGTAGCATGGCCCTACCACGTAAAAAGCGATTATACGAAACGTTGCAAAGATCTTAAGGCTTCCGATAGATAGGATATAACCATCTCCTCTACAATAGACGTAAATATATAGCTGTAATGGCAGATAATGCTTTTGGCATTAAATCCGAATTTTTTATTTATTTAGTTTTTATTACACACCTTATAATAAGTGATATAAAGGGCGGACTTAATGCCTTATGGCATTCTCTACCAGTTAACCCTGGATAATTTGAGAAACTGTGGCAGGTGTAAACGATCACTTCACAAATTAATAAATAAGCTATAAAGATATAAGGTACAATAAAATGCAAATAAATACAATATAGTTAGTAAAATAAACATACTTAATATCTACTATATAATAAAGAATAAATCATAAATAATATTTAAGATTTATTCTTTATATATTATATAAACGGGAATTTATATACAAAATCTGTAATGAAATAAAACAATATAATACAAAAATAAAATAACATGATACATATTAAAAAAATACAAAATATCACTTATAAAGCGAAAGAGAACGAAAAACAAAAGTCGGATAAATCAGGTGGTATTAAGTTCTTAGTTGACAGTATTTGTTATGCGCTTCACCATCTTAGGCGATCATCTCCACTTACCATCAGGTGGGATTGTAGTTAAGCGCTAGCTTTGAATAATAAAAAAAATTAAGTCCGGCTTTTGTTGCTCTACATTGAGTAAGGTTCAATAAATAAAATACAAATACGGGAAGCACCATCAAAGGTAAGACTCCGCGATATCGCAGTGGATTTTTATGACTATAATGGTTAATAAAGAAGAAAAAAGATCTGAAACATGTTTGTAGTAAAAACAGGTATACACACCAATACACAACCAATGAAACTACAATTGTGATATCTAGATAGCCCTACTAACGTGAGTACGAGTGCGTACTTACAAAATATCAAATACATGACATGATATCCAAGTGAGCTTACGCCAGGCCTCTGTCACTCTTGCTACCTGCGTGAAATAATTACCTAAATTCGCGAGGCGTCCTGGGCGTTATACGCAGTCGGGGCTAGCTCGTTGTAGGCGATTCAAAGTTAAAGTTTTTAACGTTGTTTACGTACATATTTTTATGTAAATACTTGTTGAAATAGTTTTTGTTTAGTGTTTAGTATATTTAATTGTAGGTAAAAATAGTTGTAAAAGTTTTAATGTATTTTAAAAATTACATATTATGTATATTGCCTATTTGATAAATTATAATAGCAAAACGTCGTTCCTACTATAACTTTTGCGTGGATGGATACTAAATGAAATGACCAACAAAAGTTTTCATATCATTCTTTGAGTTACCGAAGAATTTTAGAAGGAAATTATGAAAGGTGAATTTATTTAATTTTATTTTGTTAGATAGGTACTTACGGCAAAAAAAGAATGAAGTAATAATTTGGTCTACAGAAGAAATACCTAAGTACTTTATTACAAAAATTAGTTAAAATTTACTTCACTATCCATCCATTTACTTACATACATACCTGTACTTAAACTTTGTATACTAAGAAGATTTTTAAGTAAGTAGAATAGATTACATTTCTGTTAGGAATCGTATTTCAGGTTTATTTGTTGTTCACACTATCTACGTATTTCTTCCGAACCAAGCGTTGCGATTCCCGACGAATGACCTTGCAATTTGCATGCGTTAGGCATCGCAATACTCAATAATAGGGGCGTAAGTATGGTCAGTCGATCATAGTCAGGATAGGTACTTCATCTAAGTAATATAATTAAAATTTCACAATGTATTTTTTTTACTTTCTATTGACATCCCTTAATAACTACGGAAAGTCCGCTGTGACTTAGGAAGCGGAAAAGATGGACACCAACGCGCAGCGATAAAGTTTTATTTAGCTTGCGTGAGCGATTTATCTGATTAATAATAATTATGTAGGCTATTAAACGTCGGCAACCAGTTAACATCAAAGGAGTGCAACTTCTGTATGTAGTACTATTATTTATTCTGTGCTTACGCTTAATAGCACGTGCAGTGCAACCAGCAGACAAACGGGCGGTTGACGAGATAATATGAAGAGTATGAAGGCCCTAGTGTATAATGTACATGTGTTCACGTCGAAGTAGCAGCAGGATGCGTGATCCGCGCTCGTCATCAGGTAAGTTCAACCGATTGAAATAGTTACTGAGGCAATAAGAAAGCAATGAAAATGAGCAATTATACGTGGTAATCATTCTGCAACTACATTTTGGGTATAGCAATAATGGGCCGGCTCGTCCGGGAAAGCATCACGCTCTCACAGAATACCTGCGTAAATCAGCAGCTTAATGCTGATGTGTTTCGTATGCTGAGTGTAGAGAACCGGTGACCCTTTTTACTGGATACGAGGCACTCCATTTTAGTTCTCAGGGGGTGACAATGCATCTGCATATTGATTCCTTATCAAGGATAAAAATATGTATCCACTTACCAACAGGTGGACCGTAAGTTTGTCAATTCAATTTTTTAAAAAATCGAAGATAAGATCGAAATAACAGAATGCACAAGAGTTGAATTCTCAAGTTTTTCAACGAATAACAGTTGTCAGTTGGAATTCATCTTTACAATGCGCACAATGAGCGATTGGAATTCTGTACCTCCTACTTACGAGACCTCCCAGAGCACGCTTCTTCAGGATTTTTTAATTCTAGGGTGAATAGGTATTACCTAAGTAAACATACTTATAATCACCACTTGATATAAGGTTAGATCACGCTCAATTCAAACGTTGACCTATTAAAGTTCCTAAAATATCACAAGTGTATGCCAAACCTAATGTTGCCAAACACAATTCTCTCAGCGTCTATTAAAATTTCTCGTTCGCTACCAAATTATATGCGATTAATACCAAAACGGTAGACAATCGGGCAGAGCGGGATGCGGGGAGGGCAGGGATCAGGTGTTCGATTCTCGGGGAATGAATATTAACAACCCTTCCTGGCGGCGCGAGCTCGTAATTGAAAATAATAGGCTCGCTGCTAACTCGACGTGTGATTAACGTTATGTGATAATGGTCGGGCGACGTCGTGATCGTTGCGAATGAAATTGTTTTAGCCTTATATTCTGGAACTGTGGGTAGTAAATTATACATTTATTGCGAGCAAATATGAGCAAATTCATTTATTACTACTACTAATATTTTAAAATCTTAAAATTATAAGGCTAAGTGTACAATGAAGCAAAAGAGGGAAGATTTATCATTGGTTTAATAAGAGATTAGTAGCAACCCCTGAATAGATATAGTGACGTCCTGGTAAGACTTGTAAGAAGTCGATGATGATGGAGAATATTACTTTAACGTTAGTTTGTGTACTTAAATAACACATATTTTTATTTACATAATGAACCGGAACTTTATCTGTTAAGTTATAAAGTTATTGTAGTGAAATTGCACAGCCCAAGTCTCCAAGGTCATTAAATTATTTAAAGAAATGAGTGTTACGTTTGCGCATTAAGGGTCCGCAATCAGTTAGGATGTGCAGAGGCATTTCTTCCGTTATGGAACAGAACCGCCACATCCTTGAGTTACTTAGGATTGGACATATGCTTTTTAAGACAACAGTGTCCATTTAGGGCTCTTGCCAGAATGCGCAATTTATTTTTGCTTAATCCGAGGGCTTCTGAAGCGAATTTACGATCAAAAGCCTGGATTAAGGTTTTAGATCGTTTTAAACCTAGTATATCAAACCAGATCTTAATATTATGCCATAGTTACCACGTTTGTCAGGCGGGTTCGCAATCGTAGTTTTTGTGATGACAGAACACCAGCTTAACTCTTTTATAGCACTTTTTACAGAATATTTGACCGCTAGGTGGACTATGTGCTCGTACATGTATTTCTTTTATAACATAATTTGTTTTTACCTTGTCGATGCGCCTGCGCCGTTGGTACTATTCTCCCGAAGAAGTCTTTATGTACCTGTAAAAAGAATAAAAACCACATAATATAGTGTCCGCTTTTATCAGACAGTAACAGTCCACTACTTGGTATTCTACATCTGGCATAAAAGAAAGATGTTCGAATATTTGGAAGGAAATCTTTTTGGCATTTCCCATGGTCACCTCTAAAGACGCCAACGTAATTTTTCATTCGTTTGTCACCTTGCTGACTTAAAAAAATAATAAATAATGGCAACGTAAGACTGACACTTACACAACACACACACACACACACGCACACACGCGCACACGCGCGCACGCGCGCACGCACGCACGCACGCACGCACGCACGCACGCACGCACGCACGCACGCACGCACGCACGCACGCACGCACCGCTGAACATAGGACTTCCCCATAGATTGCCTTATAAGAATGATTTTGCCATAGTTACCACTCTACGCAGGCTAAGCCAGGTCAGAGTTGACAACCGCAGTTTTTCCATTATATCGAGTTGTTATCCAAAAGGTGCTGCTGCTTAGCCACCGTTTCAGTTACCCGCTGTCGCCTCTTACGAAACTGAAGTGTTGATATGTGGTCGTGAATTAAATCAAAAAATCATAAATCTTTATTTCATCCAACTTAAGTCTAAAAACACAATTTTACTATGTTTGGAGATTTGTTTTAAGCTAAATAAATTGTTGGTCCAAGGAAACTCCGCTCTTCCAGGAACAGTTATACAAAATACACTTTAGATTACAGTTTAAATAAGAGATTTTTACCATCGGTCAAGTGTAATGTCCCTCTGCAAGATGCAGGAGTGTACAAGCTTGATTGTGAATGTGGTCTCTCCTACATAGGACAAACTAAAAGATCAATAAAAACCCGCGTTAAAGAACATATAGCTGATGTGAAGAATCCACGCTCCGGGAAGTCTACAGTCTGTGAACACGTACAGGATCGCCCCCGTCACTACATCAGATTTGATATACCGCAGATCCTCGCTAAAGAACACCGATTCCTTCCAAGGATGATTCGCGAGGCTATTGAAATCAAAAAACATCCTAATTTCAATAGAGAAGATGGCTGGGTGCTACCATCTGCTTGGGATCCTATAATAAATAAAATTAAATCCCAACCCAAGCATACAACTGCAAGACTTCAAGATACCATAAGTTCATACTGCATAGATCGGAACAAAAGTTAAATTTTAATCTATGGTAACCGCGGTTAACTATGACATATGGACGTTGAACATCTCAGTCCTGCCCGTGACCATGAGTGCTGTAAAGCGTTCGAAACGACGGGTATTTAAAAAGTTAAAATATACGCGATAAATTCCGTAAAAACTAGTATTATTTCAAGTATTTCAACATGTTCAGGATCGTCCCAACCATTTTATCAGATTTGATAGACCACAAATCCTCGCAAAAGAAAACCGACCCCTACGAAGGATGATTCGCGAGGCTATTGAGATTAAAAAACTTCCTAATTTCCAATATCTTCTCTTCTATCTATCTTATAATTAATACAGAAGATGGCTGGGTGCTACCATCTGCTTGGGATCCCATAATTAATAAAAGTAAATGCAGACTCAAGCCCAACTGCAAGACTTCAAGACACTGTAAGCTCGTTCTGCGTAGATCGGACCAAAAAGAATATTTAAAAGTTGAAGGTAGCCTTCGTTGACTATGACATCGGGACGTCAAAAACCGCAGTCCTCCCATTACCATAAGCGCTGGAAAGTGCCCGAAACGTAAGGATTTAAAAATATAAAATTAAACGCGATATAATCCGTAAAATTAGTTTTATTCCATACATTATACATGAATAAAAAAATTTTAAGATATTGCTAAAAGTAGAAAAATTAAAAAAAAGTGTTTAAGGAGCAAACCATTGAGGCTCTCTAAAAACCGATAAACTTTTATTTAACTTCTCAATTATGCGACATAGTGTAACAAAAAACTTCACCTCAGTTCGAACTACCGACAACTGGTGACCGAAAGATAGGCCTCATTATTGTTACTTATAACACGAGCAGTTTTTATCGTTTTTAAGCGCAAAACCAAAAATTAACACATTGCTTTGGTTCACGAACGCCCGCGGCATCGTCTCCAATTAGACGAGTGGTGACGCGACAGTCGTTAGTGTTGCGGCGACGATACATCGTTACCGTCGCGTGAAGCACAGAGTCAAATGCACTCGACACGTGCGCTTTCTTCCTTTTCCACGTAGTGTTTCCAGTTAGCACGTTTTTGAGTAATTTGACGTAATCACCGCTGGTGTAAATGTTGAAGACTACTTCTATATAACTATGATTATCCGGTATTATATACAAGTCCCCTTGCAAAACCGCAAGAAGGTATAAATTGACTTTTGCGTTTACGTTCTCATAGCACAGGATAGGTAAAATCTTAGTAGAACGTTTACGGCTACACATACTACATAGATTTATTACTCAATTTACCTGCATGTCAATCAATATACATATTGTATGGTATAAATGCGATTAAGAATGAAAAACGTAAACCATTATTTATTAAAATGCAGGTGGGTTTATTTTGTCCGTCTCCTTTACCAGAGGACCAAAATGTGTCAAGTTAGTCTATATCTATAACATGCATAGAGTTTGTCGTTTATAGCGATTATTTAAACGAGCTAGATTTGCTCCAACCATAACTAAAATAATTAAAAGAAAGGAACGTATTCCAGTTTATTATAATGTTTTTATTATACTAAATATAAATACGTAATAAAGTGTAGTACATTGTCCATGGTGTAACAAGGGTAGAGGAAATAAAATTCGTAGCAGCAGCGTAGCGCACGTAGCGATCTTGTAGCCGCCACATTAATTGGATTGGAAAATTCTAAAAATGTTATTTAGTCACATAGCATTTGATATTTTTGAGAAGCTTATTATACATACATACATAAACACTCACGCCTGTCACCCAGAGGGGTAGGCAGAGACTACGGACTTCTATTTGGCACGATCCTGACATACCTCTTTCGCCTCCTTTACGTCCATATATCGTCGGTTAAGGGTACTTCTAACGTGGCCCATTTTCAAAATATCGCCAATTTGGTCGATAAACTTTTTTCTAGGGTGTCCCTTCCCGACTCTGCCATTCACATCTGCCATATAAATTTGCTTTGTCACTCTTTCCTCATTCATTCTTTCTACATGACCAAACCACCGAAGCATTCCTTTCTTAATCCTGGTCACAACATCATCTTGCATACCACGTTTATCTCTTATCACGCAATTTCTCACCCTGTCATTCAGATTCAACCCTAGCATACTCCTTAAAGACCGCATTTCTACAGAATTTATTCTACTTTCGTGCTTCTTCTGCCACACCCAGCTTTCACTACCATACATTAAAGTAGGGACTAACACAGCATTATGAATTACCAAACGTGCCTTTTTTGACACATTCTGATTCTTCATAATAGAGTGTAGTGCTTATTATAATCAAACATAAATGTGTTTCGGATTAAAAAATAATAAGGATTTTAAAAAAACTTCCAAAATATACTAAAAATATATGAGTTTTTTAATATATTTTGGAAGCGAATGTTAACACCTAAGAAGTCTCGTAACTGCAATTAACTACCATTTAATTTACTTTTTTTAATAATTATTAATCTATATGTACTATTTAAGAAAATTATATATACTGAATCTTATATATTTGTTGTATATGAAGTTATATATTTATTGCAATTTTTAGAAAAACAATTTAACTGTAACATAATAAGATACCGGTTGGTAGGTCACCCACATTAGATCGATGAACATCAAACAGTGAACACTGGACAGCAGAAAACCAATTACCACGTTACAAGCTAGGCAGAATTGACAATGCACCGGCAGCGGAGGCGATCTCATCTAGGGTATAAGGAAAATACACAAGCGATTACAACTTTTTGAGATGACTATATTTATTACATTAAATAGAAAATTTTGTAATAAATTGCGGAAAATGGAGACGTTGGTATATCTTCAGTTAGTACTAATTTCAAAGTTTTAATTAATTTACAAAATCGAATAATGTAGACATATTATTAACCATTTTTGCCGTGTAGACTATGGGAAATGCCTAAAATTTGGTAATAGTATTGCTTTCGCCGATCTGTGTGCCACACATGAAGATTTTTTAATCCTACTTAAAACGGGATAGGCCCATGCCTTGAAGACTAAAGACAGAGGTTTTAAAGTTTGATGAAGAAGAAGAAAGGAGGAGAGGAAGAAGGGGATGTATATCTAATGGAAAACTATAGCGGTGTCATGAAATAATGATGATCTATTGACCGAATTAGAACGGCGAAAATTTTAGAATATTAGCTGTAATTGCGATCTCGATATTATTATATTGCAAAACATAGAAGCACTAACTCGTAATAAGCCAACTCTAGACAATGTCTTTCTACTATAAAACTAAGCACAACGTAGAAGACAAGCACCGTAGACAGCCACAATACAAGCATACTCGATATTCTTAAATTTGTTTCGCAGAAATGTTCGCTTTGGGTGGGTTCGAACAATTTGGCCTAGGGGCGAGAACAGTTATATTTGGTTTTCGACATTAATTTTGAAAACAAAACTTAAAGTTATGGTCGTTTTGTTAAACCTTGTTGCCTCTTTCCTAATGAGAATATATCTTAGCTCCAAACATCTAGCCATTAAAGCCTATAAAAATCCACTGCAAAACACAAGTCTCTCTCGTACATCCCCTCATAATAGGGATTTTGCCATACTTATTACGCATAGTAGTATTTAATCACCACGCTTTAGTATTGCCTTATAATAAAAAAACTACCTCTGCTAGCATAATGGCACTAGGTAAATACCTTGACGAACCACTTATAAAACGAACGGATGATCCATTAAAGTGGTGGAATGAGCGCCGTCTCCTCTATCAACATTTGTATACTTTAATGAAGCGTCAGCTACGTGTGCAAGCAACGTCCGTACCGTTGGTTATGTTATTACTCAACGGTTATAGACCCACATTTTACAATGTCAAGTTGTAACTCG